CTTTACCGGGGTTTACCAGGCGTATTTCTTTTACTGGGGTTACGGGGACACCTCGCCGGGCCGGCTGCACTGAATTCTGCACACCACATCACCATATTCATCCAAAAAGAAGATCTCACACGTACTCAAAACACATTTTATCCCTCAGCGCTCTCTTTTTAGAGAGGTTTTAAATTCTGAAACCAGACGTAAAACATAAGATCACCTATGATTTCCTCTTCTTCTCTTCACAAATTGACTGAAAGTGAGTTTTCACCTTTTTAAGCACTAAATCACCGTAAAGACTCTTGCTCTCTAGCGCCGCCCTGGTGTTCCTCCGTGCACTGTGACTATTTGGGGCATTCTCTTTCACCCAGTCTCTCTTTTTCCTCTCTCGATCTCATACTCCACATGTTTTCCCAACAGTTTTCGCAAGCTGGTCAAAGCTGAAGATTTTTTGTTTGTTTCTCCTGGACAACTTCTCCTCGGATGGAACCTGCTGCACTTTTTTGTTGATTTTGCATGAGTTTCAGTTCATTGCAGGTCTTTTTTATTTGTGTAATTCTCTTTGTACGGGTCTCTAAGAACAGTGGATCACAATCTGCAAATTTGTCACGAGTTGTTTCTATGAATCTACTGGGATCTACATTCAGAGAACCCACAATCAATCAACCAATCAATCAATTAGTTTTAGTTTACCTTGAATAAACTACAGACCAGAGAAAGCCAAAGGAGGATCTGCACCTCTGTAGCGTGTTTACACCAGAGCCTGGTTTTTCCTGAGGTCTCGATTTTGGCTTGATCATTAATTCCTCTCTCCCATCACCAACCTGACACATGACCGGATCAGGGGGGGAGGGAAAAAAGAGTAATAATACCACCTCTCAATCATGTTTTCATTTTCTAGGAGATGATATTCAGACCAGGTCGACTGTAATCCTGCTGCTCAACCTCGTAATGACGTGCCAATTCATCTCTAACATGCCAAAATTGTCTGGTTGCCAAATTTTCCTCTAACAGGTGCATTGGCATGAGTGAATGCCAACCCCATGAGCTGGTACCCCGCCATGTGACTTCTCAGGCGAAAATTAAGTCAGTGAAATTTGGTTATCGCTGCTAGGATTAGCATGACATAGCATTTCAGTTCTCTTTGGATTTCATTTGGTTGTTTTTGGTTCTCTCTCTCTCTATATATACAGTATATATATACATATATATATATATTTATTTTTTCCCAAAATAAAGGGACTTGTGCAAAATTTAATTTATGGTATATTCGGGTTTTGTCTGATAACTTTCAAAGGATAGTATTTAGTCCAATCACAATATTTAAAGTATTGCTATAAAACATTATTTATTCTATTATAGTGTGATGTTCTTTTTTTTCCATCTTGATCCTCTTTATATATTTTACAGCTTCTTCTGGAGTGCTAAAGACCCTTTCAGGGCATAAAAAATGTAAGAGGACAGTATGGAAGAAACACGTCACACATGTGTACTAAGTGCCACATGAAACTATTATTATGTTACAAAGGAAAATATGAGTTTAATATTTTTGATCGGTGATCTGATTGAAATAAGAACATTATATCATTATTTCATAATAAACTTCATTATGGAGAAAACAGAGTTAAACTGAATACGTGCTTCTTTTGTTCCTCTTTGATTGTTTTTTTTTTCAGGTTTGCTAAACATAACTTGTTTTATTTTGAAATTTAAACTACAACTTTAACAAATAAGAATGTACACTACCTGACAAAAAGTCTTAAGGACTCCAAGTTTTAGGAATAACAAATAATAACTTGACTTCTAGTTCATCATTTGGTATCAGAAGGGGCATATGTTAAAGGCAAAGGCCTCTAGATTATGCTTATTTTACCAAAATTAAATATGATCATGCCTTGAGTTTTAATTATTTAATTAGGACAATAAAGTCTGACTTTGCTTAGACAAAAGTCTTGTCACTTAACAGAAATAATGTTAAGTATAGAAATTAATAGTCATGGTGCAGTGGAAAAAGAATGAATGTTGTCTATATGACTCCTATGAGGACTGCATCCATACATCTCTGCAATGACCTTTTAAACAAGTGAATGGCAAAGAAAGCGTTCTTGCAGGACTCCCAGAGTTCATCAAGATCATCAAAGTTCAATGCCTCCTCCATCTTACCCCAGACATGCTCAAAAATGTTTATGTCTGATGACTGGGATGGCCAATCCTGAAGCACCTTGACCTTCTTTGCTTTCAGGAACTTTGATGTGGAGGCTGAATTATAAGATGGAGCACTATCCAGCTGAAGAATTTGCCCTCTCCTTTGGTTTGTAAAGTAATGGGCAGCACAAATGTCTTGATACCTCAGGCTCTTGATGTTGCCATCCTCTCTGCAGATCTCTCGCACTCCCCATACTGAATGTAACCCCAAACCATGACTTTTCCTTCACCAAACTTGACTGAATCTGTGAGAATCTTGATTCTTGTGGGTTCCAATAAGTCTCTGCTGAATTTATGATGATTGGGATGCAGTTCAATGAATGATTCATCTGATAAACCTTCTGCCACTTCTGTTCAATTGATCAACTAGAAGTCAAGTTATTATTTGTTGCTCTTAGAAATGGGATCGGCAACAAGACTTTTGTCAGGTAGTGTATGTTCAGAATAATAGGATATATGCAGATATGCAAAAAGGCTTAATTTTTCAGTAACCTGGGTGAAACGCTTCTGGTGAACTGTATGCTGCTGCAAAATCAACGATCTTCACTGCCTGATTGTTATATGATATAAAGTGGGTTTCAGAATGTACAAGAAGCACTCCATTAAATTACATTTTCAGCGCCATGTCTTTAAAATATGAACATTTATTTTATTAAAGTATTTTCAATAGAGTTTCTGTGCTAGCCTGCTGATAAGCTCGTGCATTTAAATAGATATTTATCTCGTTTTACGCTTGAACAACTAAATGAATGCTGAATTCTATTTAACTGGTTATAATTTAATTACATTACAACATCAATGCTATAAAAGAAACTGTAAAAAAATTGAGTCACACTCACCGTTTATCAATGTGAAAAAACTATGGTTAACGTGCTGCAATTAAAGAAAACACATGCAATTACAAAAAGCCAGCAAATTGAGACAAGATCTTCATTCGTTTGATAGCACACGAGCTGCATTTTCACACAATGCAAACAAATTAATAAAACGTGCTGCATTTTTCACACCACAACCAATTTACGAAAGCGTTCTGCATTTTCTGCAAATAGCATGTAATGGAAATGTTGCAAGAGGACTCTAAAACATGACGGACCAGGCTATTTAGGTTATGGTTTTTGGGCTAATAAAATGCAAAAAAACAACAACAATGGAATCAGGATGTTAAAATAAACAAATAAAAAGGCCCGTTTCCCAGATCGTTTGAGAAGTGTGAGTGCTCTGAATGGAGCTCAGGCGCGGTTCACTTGGGCTTTGGCGCGGTCCACTTGGGCTTTGGCGCGGTACACTTGTGTGTAAGTGCAAAACGCGCTTTAGCTCGAAACTGAAAGCGAGACATGACTTTTAGGGACTGTTTCATATGGATTAATTAATTATTCTTACTGTTCAGTGAACGCAAACTGTCGCAGTTTATTAAAGACGCAAACCGCTCACTGCATGACAGATGCGCACCTTCAGCAAACCTCCTATTTCCTGCAGCACGAGTACTCTATGGTTGTTTATGAGCGTCAAAAGTGGCTGATCTGTTCAGCAAAATATTTGACTGTGTGTCACTGCATATCAAACGATTTAAATGTTATAATAACTAAAGAAATCTCCACTGTGCTGAATCGAAAGCACTTACTAAACAGCGTAGTATGGATGATGACGTAATCGTGCCCAGGCCTAAATGTAATGTGAGTGCAGGCCGTCGGGGGAGATGGGAGAGGGGACAAGTGTGCTTTGGCCCGGTTCAAGGCAATTGTACATAGTGTGAGTACACCCTAACTGTGCATATACCCTATAGAAAACTGAAGTAAAAAAAAAGTGCTTGATTTTTTTATTTGGTTTATATCATTTAAATCAAAACCACATTGTCACCTCTTCATTGATTATTATGTAAAGATCGTTAAGTTGATATTTTGTCAAGCATTTTGTTTATCCAATTGGTGGAAAACTAAAGCCAAATATCTAAACAATTTGTGTTCCAAATTTGAAGATGATATCACAAAAATTAAGGTTCTTTTGAGATTTTGTTTTGATGTTGTACCAAAAATTTCCACTGGGTGACACTCAAACACCCCTTTAGAAAAATTTATCTAGTCACAAATGGGGTATATGAACACAGACTTTTGATTTCAGTTAGCCCGTCCCAGGGCTTCCGGTTAATTGTCATCCCATACAAAATCGCTGTGTTCATCTGATTTCTTAAAAAAAAAAAAAAAAGATACTGATGGCTGAGATACAATACAAAGTGGGTATCAGACCAAACAATAAGAACTGCAATATATTATATTTTTTATACGTCATGTCTTTAAAATATGGAAATAATTTTACTCCAGTATGTTCAATGGAGTTTCTGTCAGTTAAATAGGCTTAAGCATCCATTTGGTTGTGTAAAGCATAAAAAGAGATGAAAGACCGTTTAAGTTACATTACAACATCGATGCTGTAAAAGAAACTGTATGAAATTGAAAATAGTCACATAAAGCTTTCACCGGAAGTTCCTTAACCTATAACAACAGTCAATTTGTAATATTGAACTTAAAGCAATGACCAATTTAAAATACCTTCCCAGGATGAAAAAAATACATATATTTCGAAAGGATTTATGAGAAGGAAAAGGGGCAATAAAACATGTAAGGTGTAAAATTTTGTGGAGTTTAAACTTGAACTGTATTTTATTTTACAATATTTAAGCTACTGTATTTATGATTAAATAAAAGCATTGATACAGTAGTGAACAGAAGAAACTTAGTAATACATAATATTACAAAGAAGTAATATACACTTGTAGCAAAGTACACATTTAATGAAATGTAATGATCAAAAGAAACAGTCATTTGTTTTCAGTTTATTGAGCTGAACTGTTTTAAAGTGATTTATTGTGTTCAATACGCATCACAATATTACCTGCTGACGGATAAACATCCATTGATTCACACAGGTTAGTAGGTCTCTAAATTTCTGGGCACACATACACACTCACACACACACACACACAGGCACACACACACATCCCTCGCTCATTCTCTCTCTCATGTATTACATTTCTTCATGAAACAATAAAGCATACACTGAAGAACATCCGATGAATGTCACAGTGATAGTTGTTGTGCTCGTCAATACAGCGAATGTCATATAAGCACAGCATGACATGGCAACCCAAGACACAAATACATTCGTAATGCCTGTTTATCGAGGAAAAATACATTCCGATAAGTGTTGACAGACGTTCATGATCCCGTGACAGTAGTTTAACATATTAAACATTCAATATTCACACAACATTCAATCTAGAAAAAGAAAAGGCAGATTTCCCTTCTACAAAACATTAGCTTCCTTCATTCAGTTTCAGCGTTCAGTCACAGTGTGTGGTTTACAGTGCTCCGACTCTCTTATTGTAATACATTAAGTCCATGCTAAACTTCGTCTCCAATGTGTTTCTTAATCAGTGCAAGAGACATTTCGATTTTCTGTGACGCCCTTCAGTGATTGTACACATCATAAATACGTAATATGTTCATGTTTACTTAAAGCATAGGCCTCAAACTCGATTCTTTCTTGCTCTGTTAAACATCACTTTGGGGAATACTTGAAAAAATAAATTAATAAATGTTCACAGCTCTGCACAGTTTGGCTCAAACGCTAATCAAACACAGCTGATCCAACCAATCAAGGTGTTCAAGACTAAGCAAGTGTGAGTTGGAGATGGTTGGAGCTAAACTCTGCAGAGCTCCAGGAATTGAGTTTGAGACCATTGAATTAAAGACTTCATGACACCCTTGAAAACATTATTTCAGAATTCGCAAATAAGGCATGCTGCGTCCCAATTCGCATACTATCCGTCTTGAATTGTATTTGAAATAGAATTAGTAGGTTTCCAAAGACATGCGGTACAGGTGAATTGGGTAGGCTAAATTGTCCGTAGTGTGAGTGTGTGAATATGTGTGTGGATGTTTCCCAGAGGTGGGTTGCGGCTGGAAGGGCATCCGCTGCGTAAAAACTTGCTGGATGGGTAGGCGGTTCATTCCACTGTGTCGACCTCTGATTAATAAAGGGACTAAGCCGACAAGAAAATGAATGAATGAACTTGTTTGTATGGTAAACCACAGAAAGACACATAGATATGTGTATATACCTAGATGTAGGTATACAAAGTATACCTAGGACCACCCAGGGTCCTAGGCGGGCCCAATTGTCAGGTGGGACTCGATTTTCATACGCTAATTGCTGATATTGCCCACAGTACATTGTGCGCTGGATGTAAATTCTATTAGAACTACAAACGTGGGTGAAAAGTGTAAATAAACTACAAACATGGTGGACGCGCGGGACCAACCATCAAGTAGAGAGGCTTCTGTTAAGATGTTTGTTTGACTGTTAATCAATATCCAGCCAACTGGGAAGACTTTAAATCACATTTTCTGTGTTATATTTTATCTGCAACAACAATACTGAACTTATATAAAGACGTGGTTGGACATTAACATCTGAATGGATAATGATCCAAAGACCTGATGAGATTTCTCTGCATGAAATATTAACCTGCTGCTGTTTCTCCAGTAAGGTAGGAAATTAAATATAATGGAAATGTGGATAATGTGTGGATGATTGACAGGGATCATAACTAAGCAACACAACGATCTGTTAAATGTTATCTTTTTGATTGGGAAAAAGTGTAATGGTCAATATGGTGAAGGAGCCAATCATCGATCGCTATATGCCGAATAATGCCCGCCTTCTAGTACAGGAGCCAATCATCGATCGCTATTGTCTGCCAATACTCTGAAGGAGGGGCTCGGACCAGAGGTGAGTTTCTACATATTTTGTGTGATTTAGATGTTTAGAAATGAAACTAACAACACAGTTTTTGTGTAATTGTATTTGTGATTCTTAATATGAAATTCATTGGTAAGCTTAGAAAGCAGTTTTGGAGAATTTGATGTTTCCTCATTCAAGCATGCCCGAGCATACTGTCCGAAAGGCGTTTCAAAGATGGCTGTCGAGTGAAATGACTTGCCTTAAAAGCACTTTGATACTCTTCTGGTACACATTCAAAAGTATATATTTTTCCTTCACAAAAAAAGTACATACTTTTAGGGCGTAGTATAAGTAAGCGAATTGGGACGCAACAGCAATGTGACGTTCGAGTCTCATACATCAGTTGTGAAAAACAGCTGTTGCTTTCAGGGAATTATTTCAAAATAAAGGTACCAATGAGTGCACATGTTAAGGTAAGTAAACGATCAACAATTAATGCTTATTTCATAAATATTTTGCTGTTCATTTGTACCTTGAGTCGAACAAAATCATATACTGTTGAAGATTTGGAGATGTTTTTAGATGAGATTCATGCTTTTGTTATTGTCTGGATGCTAGTTTGCTAAAGTAGATTACTTTGTTTTCTCAATATAAAATACACAGTCATGTCTTAACTTTTTATTTTGAAACGTGTTTACAAAAATGTGCACTATTCAACGATTTTCGGCTCTGTGAGGTTTCTTTGATAAAGAAATTAATCCAGCAATGATGTATTTAATTGTTTAAAAGTGACAGCAATTAGATCCAAATTGTAACTTTAATAATAAATGTTTGTTATGCAGCAAATCTGCATATTGATTAAAGGGTCTATAATAAATGCTCATTTCACACATATTTTGCTGTTCATTTGTACCTTAGTCGATCAAAAATCATATGCTCTTAAAGATTTGGAGATGTTTTAGATGAGATGCTTTTGTCATTGTCTGAATGTCAGTTTGTTAATGCAGATTACCTTGGTGTTCGACATAAATTACGCAGTCATGTCTTAAACTTTTATTTTGAATCAGTTACGTGTTTACAAAAATGTGCACTACGGTTTTTGTCTATGTAAGATTTCCTTGGTTAAGAAATTAACAAATTTATTTAGGAATGACATATTTAATTGCTTAAAATATATACATAAGCTCATTTGTCCTATTTTGAGTTTAATGCCATAATAAATTGTGAAAATAACCACAGAAGAAGGTTTTAAGACCAGACAAAATCCTCTTTTGGATGTTGCTTCAGCGCAACTAAGGAAAGTTGAATGTGCTGGCCAGTTTGTGTTTGCCTAATAAATGACGATAGGCAAGTTTTTAATTTAAAACTTGAATAGCATCTTTTTTTTTCCTAATGAAATATGGTGCAATGAGTTTTTATTTGAAAAATAAGCATTATTTTCATATTTTTCTTCCTCTACATCTTTAGGAAATGTTTTTGGTACATCCAAACGTGTGGTTGATCACCATCCGGCAAGCTAACCCAGCAAAAAAAAGGTGCTTAAAAAGTATTTAAACCTAATAGATAAACAGAAAATGAGGCGTATAACTGCAAAAAGATCCATATTTTAAGAAAAAAGAACCACCCCTTTTTTAACCAGGCTAGCTATGGGCCTGAATAAGGATTTTTTTTGAAGGATCATCTGTCACTAAAGAATCGAGTAATGATGGCGAAAATTCAGCTTGCCCTCACTGGAAAAAATATCATTATAAATCAGTTATTTATTGAATAATATTTTGTAAAAATAAATACATCCTTGGTGGACATGAATGATTTTTAAAGATATTACTGAACACAAATTAATTAATGGTAAGGGTGCACATAAACTCAATCATTCTAATATATTTTCCCTTATTTAGTAATGTTATGACTGTATAATTTATATTGTAGAACTAAGCAATCTTCTTTTACAAGCCACTAATCTTTAGCAAACTCTCTCTGGTTTAAGGACAACAAAACCAATAGCTTTAATCATGATTCCCTGCATTTAAAGTCTTTTATTCTGAAATAATTTCCTGAATAATATGCCATTTTATTTCTTAATGTTAATGTCTGTACTTCCTCCTTTCACAGCAGTGTAAAATGTACCTGAAATTGTAGGAGATGAGAACAAATCAAGTTTTGAACCATGTAACAGTTTAAATGGATTATCTTTTTTTTTTCTTCCCCCCATAGAAGTCTTTAAGGTTTTGACTGACGGACATCCTTCCACTCCATCTTGGTGCTTTGTAAAGCCTGGGTCTTCTTCTCATCTACCTTCACATAGTCCACCCTGTATTCGTCTGCCAGCAATGGTTTCTGAAAGCATCAACAATACAAACATGAATAAGCATGACTAACCGTTATCAAAACTGCAGGCAGATTTTGCGCCGTGTCATGTTTATAGCTGAGCGATGATGATAAAGCCACCAAAACAGGAAATACTGAGTCAATGAAGATTCATGATGGGCACCAGAAAGGATCATTTTGGCAGATAGCACTAAAACGCAACACACAAACACACACTAAATGAATGTTTGTAATGGAGTCCTTTTTGACCAAGTCTACCACTGACCTTCTGGACAGGTGACGGAGAGGCAGAGTTGAAGTCAAGTGACAAGTAATCCAGCTGAGAAGGCCTCATCCAGGGAGCAGAGTCACAAGATGGAAACAACATCTGCCGAGAGTCCTGGACAAAGGAAAACGCATGTAAATATGACCACAGTGCTTTAATACTGCCTCATATTTATTTATTTGATAAAAAAGCTACATTTTCAGAAACCAGGGGCCTCATGTACTAAGACTTGCGTGGAAATCATACTAAAACATTGCGTACGCACAAAGCTGTGAATGTTTCCCCCCGCTACATCTCAGATTTTGCCTGCTATTTATCACGAGAAAGACAAGTAGGAATCATTAATAAGATTGTGCATCATATTTTATTTGCACATTTATTGAATGGAAATGTTTCTGATTCACGCATGCAAATTCATCTTCAGATAGTGTCTTTATAGCAATGTGCGTGCAGTAGATAGCTCAGATTACATTGGGAAAACAGGCGACCGCTGCAAATTGTGCTTTAATGTTTAGCTGGTCAAATGTATGGTATGGAAACCTTATATACCTGCTAGATGAACCCGTCTCATACAGCTGCCATTGCAAGGCTCAGACACTTTGTAGAGAGCAATTTAACACAACTGCCTCTAGGAGTCGCCAATGGAAATAAAACAGACACGCACAAAAAATGTGCGTACGCCAGCCAGAAAGCTGCCGTGAAGCTGCGCACATTCCCACGTTCAGTTCATGGTTAGTAAATCCAAACGTGAGCGATTCTGAGCGTGAAACCTGGCGTACGCAAAGTTTTTGTGCGTACGCAGCGTTGATACATGAGGCCCCAGGTCTTTAAAGCATGGTAAAAAATTGTAAAAAAAACTATTAGTAAATTGTATACACATAATGCAAGGAAACAGATTAGTAAATTGTGTGCAGAATTGTCTTAACCCTTATGTATTGTTCAAATTGACTACCCTTTCGAATCATGCATTTTACCTGTTGGGAAAAGGTCAAATTTGTCAATTTTATTTTTAATCATCAGTTTGCAGCATTAACCCTTTAGAAATCCAAACTTTCAAGCTTTTATATAAATTAACAATAATAATGAAGTGTGGTAAAAAAAAACTTAAATCCAAACACTTCCTATTGTCTTATATGGTGATACATAGGTCTTCCAAACCTGACAGGCGGATAGTTCTAAACTTGTTTTTAATAAAACAAATATAAATGTGCATATAATAAATAATACTCTTAATAGTGTTATACTAATACAAATTGTCATAAATAAACAGAAAAAAAGCACCTGGACATGAGTAGGCATGAAGGCAGTGTGTTTTTAAATATTTATGTTGGTAATAATAATTTTTGGAACGCTTTAATCATTTCATATGTAAATATATTTGTGTATTGCTGTACATCCTGTGTTTATTAAGCAATGTGTAAGCATTTGGACCTGCATAGGCACATAACTACATGCTCTGCGCTGGATTTTAGACCTGCTTTTAGTTGGTCAATGACGCAGTCTATTTCAAATCCTCAAAATAGCAACGCGCCCTAAAACACCTGCTTTTCAGACCAGCACAACCATGAGTTCACAGTGGCGCAAATGGATTTGCTATTTAAACAGCGTGGCACAAAATGAAAAAATTAATGTTGCGCTGGTCTGAAAACAGTAACAAATTAAGCCATGCATGTCTTGCACCTTATTGCATCGGGTGTATGATAGGGCCCACTATGTTTACTACGTGCTTAGGTCTCTCTCTCTCTCTCTCACACACACACACACACACACACACACGCTATGTTCCATTTAAAAGCTGGAAACTATGCTTTTTTTTTGCACTGCTTCTGACAATCCACAGCAAAAATGACAAATTTCATCTCTTCCCAAAAAGGAAAACCACCAACAATCAAGAATATAAGATAATATGCTGTCATGGATTTGCAATCAATAAATGTTGTTATAATGGAAGTCAATGGGGCAAAAACATCCATTAACCTAATGAAAGGGTAGTAAATTTGCCTAGAGCTTATTGAATTTTTTGAAAAAAAAAATGAGACAACTTGTTAGTAAAACCTTTACATGCTATACAAAAATGAGGTAAAAAAAAGTAAGAGAGCCAATTCATAAAACCTAAACATGCTGTATGAAAAATTAGTTCACAATTTAGTAAATCTTGCAAACAAAACACTTAAAATAATTGGAATTAGTTAGTAAAAGGTGCACACAGTGTACTTCAATCAAATAAACTAATTAGTAATTGTGCTTACGATACTTAAAATTAGGTAACAAATGAATAAAATGTGTTCATGATAAACTAGTCAAGCATATACACTATAGTTAAGGGGTGTCCAAACTCAATCCTGACCTGGAGGGCCAGTGTTCTGCATATTTTAGTTCCAACCTTAATTAAACACCTGAACTAGCTAATCAGGCCCTTTCTAGGTATACTAGAAACATCCAGGGAGGTGTTGAAGGAAGTTGAAGCTAAACTATGCAGGACACTGACCCTCCAGGACCGAGTTTGGACACCCCTGCTATACTGAAAACACAGTATTGAATTCATGAAAAGTGTGTATTTAAAATGAATTAGTGACCTAGTAAATTGTACACACAATCTGCTTGAAGCAAGGTAACAAATTAGTAAAATCATTTAGTAAATTGTGTATACAATGAACTTTAAACAAGTTAATACAATAGTAAATTTGCTGACACATAGTTTAGTTAAGGGAATGAATTTATATTTTGTGGCACAATAAAATAATTTTTTTAAAATAATTTTTTGCATTCTGCTTTACGTAAGTTACTGTTTTTTTTGGGAGACTTTTCTTATGAGATTTATTGTTTTTCTTGTTATATATATATATATATATATATATATATATATATATATATATATATATATATATACACACACACACACACACACACACACACACACACACACACACACACACATATATATATATATATTTTTTTTTTTTCTCCTTCTGTTGCCCTTTTGATCTTTCTAGCTTTAAAAAATATAGCAAGCAATGATTAATGAGATGCTAAGACAGGAAGTTGTTTTACTGTTGGAGTGATGCTGCCATCCTGTTCAGAGCCATTTAAGCACCAAACACGCCGTCTGTCCAAAGGAGTACACTGAAGTGAAGTGCTGGAGACAAACAAACAACACAAAACACTTCAGCATTCAAATATAGAACAACGTGTCACCATTATTTACGCTAACAAAGTAACTTAAAGCATCAGTGTGACATTTTATAAACTTCACAAACATGTAAACTAGAAAGCTTTAGGAGTTGCAGAGGCAGGAAACAGAGATCAGGTGACAAGACAAGAGGACACAGAGAAAGAAGGGATTGAGAGGGAAAATAGAGCTGCAGAGGATCTGTTTTGGGTCATGTTGACCTGTAAATGTGTGTTTGTCATAATTAAGTGACAGTGTTGTGCAAATTGCACCTGGGTTCTGTCATGGCGCGTGTGAGGGGAACATGGAAAGGACATTCAGAAATGGTGGACAGGCCCCGCAAGTCTAAAGGCGGCGGTCGAGCTGTCAAACACAATGCAGAACAGTTAAACACTCCATATCTTTTATTTTTTTCTCATCCACACAGAACTAACAAACACACACTTTCACTGAGCATAATGAGGCATTTCCTTTGTGTTGAAGGTGCCTGACCTGAAAGAACCCTGTTCCTGCTCTCAAGACACAAAGCTGCTGTCTGTGGTTCCTGCTCTGTGTCTCTGACCCGACCGTGCTCTTCCTCTCATGCTTTTGTCTAGCTAGCTTAAAGGGATAGTTCATCCAAAAATAACAATTTACTCACTCTGTACTCACCCTCAAGTGGTTCCTAACCTTTATGAGTTTCTTTCTTTTGCTGAACACAAAAGCCATTTTAAAGAAAGCTGAAAACCTGACATCCGTAGTAGGACAAACAAATGGTAAAAAGTCAATGGCTACATGCTTCCAACATTATTCAAAAGATCTTCTTTTGTGTTTAACAGAAGAAAGAAACTCTTAAAGGTTTGAAATGCGTAAATGGTGAGTAAATAATGAGAGTTTTCATGTTTGGGTGAACTATCCCTTTAAATGATCAGTTTCAAAGTAATGTAAGAATTTCACACATACTGTTTACAGTTGTGACCAACACACACAAGCAGGCTACACCCTGTTTGAACATTAAGATGCTTATCTATTTCTCACAGTAATATAATTGTAAAGCAGGGTGTCTGTGGGGTCTTAAAAATTATTAAAAGTTGACAAATCAATTATGAGTAAATTAAGGCTCTTAAAAGTTATTAAAAAGTCTTAATTTTGTTTTTACGAGGTCTTAAATTTTGTTCAAGTTTTTTCCAAAGTGTTTCACTCCAAAATAAAAATGTTTGACTTCACAAATATAATTATTTTACTCCTAATATTAACAATGGCACGCTCGATCCATGCAATTGGTTCGGTCCGGGGCGTGCCCGGCCAAGCTCCTCGGTCCGGGTGATGTCACGTAATTTGCGACAAATGTATGAAAGAGATGTGACTCTATCCATGTAGTAAAATGGAAGTTTGCATACTCCTGGTTTGTAGAAAGACGAGTTTAAACAGCGTCTGAAGTCTGTCATTGAAAACAATTGCGAAATTTATTCTTTTAAGCTTACTTTTTCCAAGCTTATTTGAGTTCTGTTGTATGGTTATTCTCAATTGGTTTAATTAACTACAACTGTTTATTAAGTTAAAGGTTTGATACAGATTAGAACTTGATGATGATGATGATAATAATAATAATAATAATATATATATATATATATATATATATATATATATATATATATATATATATATATTATTATTATTATTATTATTATTATTATCATCATCAAGTTCTAATCTATATATATATTTATATATATATTTTTTTATATATATATATATTTTTATATATTTATATATTTTTATATATATATATATTTATATATATATATATATATATATATATATATATTTTATATGTATATATGTATATATATATATATATATATATATATATATATATATATTTTATATGTATATATATATATATATATATATATATATATATATTTTATATGTATATATATATATATATATATATTTATATATATATATATATATATTTTATATATATATATATTTTTTATATATATATATATATATATTTTATATATAATATGTGATATATTTTATATATAATTTTGACTTCAGCTGTAGATGCCATTGGCCCTCAAATGTAACAACCATTGTATAAAAATGGAAATGGTGGAAAACTGTTAAGGTTGGGCTGTGCTACATAAAAAAAAAAAAGCAAAAATAAAAAATAAAAAGCAAAATCTTACTTTTTGTCCAGTACCATTAAACGCTAAACTGTGAAAGAAAAAGTTAAAAAAAGATAGCATACTGGCAAAAAATGTCAATTTGTAATCTGTGAGGCTTTAAATAATTGAAATAAAGCTAACATAGGTTCAGAATTAAGTTTGAGGGATCTGTATATTTTAAAAAATAAAGGTGCATTTAAAATATGTTTTCATTTTTAAAAATCACAATGCACGTTTAGCTTATGCAATGTCAAAAACGGTGAGGTATAAATTAATGCAACGTGTCTATAACAAGCCGTCAGGGCAAGTTTTAAGTGTCAGTAAAACTTTTAAATATTTAGGGCATGTCATTACTGAAGATATGAGTGATAATAATGATATGTACAGGGAACGTCCAAAGTCATATGCTCAAGCAAATATGCTGGTGAGAATGTTTTACTTGTGTTCGGAGCAGGGTAAGGTAAACCTCTTTAGAACTTGCAGTTCTTTATGCAGCTCCTCTGTGGTATAATAAAAAAGAGAGTCTCCATAAGCTGCAGGTTGCATACAATGATCGTATGAGGATTCTTCTTAAAAACATAGATGGGGTAAGGCAAGTTGAGATTGATATTTCTTTGATAAGAAATTCTCATATTAGCATTTTAATGTTGTTGGTAAACCCTAGGCTTACTGAGTTGCGTTAACAGTCTTCTTTAATGAAATATAGGCATAACTATTTTTTAATGTATATTGTTTGGTTTGTATTATTATTATAAATATTATTCTGTCTTTTGTACTATTTATCACACACTTGAACAGGGTGTTAACAAAAAGCTATCTGGTTTGAAAGAGAGTTCTGGTTCAGATGTCACATTTTCTCTACAGTCCTGAAGTATCTCGATTCAAGTTTATTTGTATGGTGCATTTCACAATTATTGTTTCAAAGCAGCTTTAAAAAAGGTGCACATTATTGTACAATCAAAATCTAAAAAAATAAGTTATTAGTTATCATAACTTTAATAATTGCTAATTTTATAAGTAATTAATAGCTTTTAACAGTTATTGTTTTTATATATATATATATATATATATATATATATATAAGCAAAGTTATATTGTATAGATGATGTCATCGTGTTCATTGTGTGATGAAGCTGCCAATGAACTGCACAGTAGTAAAAAACAAACTGAATCTGAACAGAAATAAATGTGGTTGTGTGATGTGTGACGCTTATATCAGCCGCTGTTCTTCCTCTAATTCATTTTTAACATGTGCATCACTATTCTATACAATTGCTCGCATGCGATCATTTCCATTTCTCTATTTGGTTGTTTCTCTGATGTTAGCTAATTAACATTTTCAGTCAGGGTAACTACTTCATGAGACCAGTGACTAGTAACTAATGCAACCAACCACTCTCATCACTCACATCACTCTTTTTTTAGAAATACTCGAGGAAGCATTTTTAAAAGAATAAAGAAATGCAAAATCTCAAAACTATGACCTCACATCCTGTTTTTGAGCAAGATATTAGTCATTGGCCGAACATATTTAGCATGTGTTAAAATGTGCTTATTTCCTTTTTTAAATGACTCCATCTAAAGTCTGTTACACTGACTACGTTTACATGGACATTAGTAATTGAATAATTTGCCTTAATCTGAATAAGACAATAATATGATTAAGGTGTTTACATGAGTTGCTTTTTGAATGCTCCTTTCATGATTCTTATTTACATGGTATAGTTGATAATTTGATTAACGTCATTGCGTCACCATGCTATCGGCATTGCAATCAGATCTTCATCTTATTTCAGGTGTTTCATATTTAATTTGTCAACTTAACTGCAGTTTGACACTTTCACTTTCATTCAGGAAGATTTCATGCATGCTCCCCAAGACACACATGATATTGGCAAGTATGCGAGTATGAACTGCTGGAAGAGGGTCATTTTAATGGAATTTGATACCACACCATGTGCATTTTGTGATGCAGGTGTCTGTCACTGACTCGGCTGGTGCAGAGAATAAGGTTGAAAATCCTACACGACAGTAATAGTTTGATTGCGGTGTTTACATGTCTGTGCTGCACTTAAATAATGGGACAAAAATCAGCATAATCCACAAGTCTTAATCTGATTTCTGTTAAATTGGATTATCACCTTAATCGGATTAAATTAATCAAAAATCCTTGTTTACATGGTCAACTCTTTAGTATTGTCTTAAGAGTCTTAAATTGGATTACTGGTGTCTATGTTAAGATACTCGATGTGGAATGCCAAATACTCCAATATACATCCAGCGAAATTGGAGAATGAACAAATATGGACAATACTTTAAGCATAAACACTGTTGCCAGATAGGCAGTTTTACTTATTACCGCGCGCTTCACTTATTACCCAATTATATGTTATGATTGCCCCAAGAGAACCATGCAAACCACCCCCCTGCTCTTCACTTACTACCTGGTTACAATAAGCCCAACAGAACCAACCACTCCCACCCCAACCTCTTCACCCCCTGCTCTTCACTTAATACCTGCTTACGATCGCCACAACCACCCCCATGATAGTCTTTAACTGTAATGGCGGTTATTTGTGCGTTTGAGTGGGTTTTGGAGACCTTTTGGGCTGGAATCAGTCGGCTATATCTGTCAACACTGCCATAATCTGCCAAAGCATAAAAGTTTACTTTTACTGGTAAGCACATTTGAACTAGCACTGCTCTGTTATGATTATGCAATAAGTGGGTATGGCTCCAAAGCTCCACCTTCTTTAATTTGCAAATTTTTTTTTTCGTCTGTTCAGTCTATGGAGATTAGGTTTCTCTGAGACAAAACAAAACAAAAACTGAAAAGCTGCCTTATAGACACTGCTTTTCAATGTCTAACACTTGATTACTGCATAGTATACTTTAACTTTGTAGCCCCAAACAAAGAACGAAATTTTTTTTAGCTGTGAGTATATCATAGCCTTCATGTTACAATCACTGAGATGAAAAATATTTACGTCTTCTTGGTTTAAGGTTGCGGTCGACTGGAGGAGGCTCAAGGTCAGGATTGGAAGGCGAGGGCAGCTCTGGTTTGCCGTTGGTGAGTAGGGAGACGGGCAGGGTGGAGGGGCTCATGGGTATGTAGCCATCTGAAGTGACATCAGTGCAGCTGATTGGTGGGGAGGCCATGGGCACATATGAATCCTCACAGTGGTTTTCAGTTACTGTGGTATTCTGAAATATTGGCTAAAAATAGAGATACAGAAAGGCACAGTCTGTGATGCATCAGGTTACTGCCAGTGAAAATTCAAATCAATGTTTATTTACAGTGTCTGTTTAAGTTTCACCAGTCTCATTTGACTGCTTTAAATTTGAATATTACCAAGTTGAGGCTCAGTCGTTTGTTCCAGTTTCTTCCAGAACTGTCAAACTCTCCTGAAAAAAAAAAGACAGTATTATGCTAAAATACAATAAATTTTATCGACATGTTATAATAGGAGCAATACCATGCAAATGTCAACCTTTCCATGAAAAAAAAAAAGTTTTCACCAAAATATCGAAACCATTCTTTTTTTTTTTTGTGTGTGTAAGCAAGTATTATACAGTACTTTAAAAATGTCTCTTTTAATGTTTTCAAAGTATTATATTTGATTTACCAAAATCACACAAGTGGCAATTTCACAAATGTCACAGCCATAATGGAGAGACGTCACATCCATAATGAAACTTTTTTCCTCAAAAATGCAAAAAACTGTCAAATAAATTCTAATCATTTTTGTTCTATAGTGAGCCAACTCTTATCCTTTTGATTAGCATAGTTTATTATTTGTTGTGGAGTTTAATTCACAGAATTTGTCCAAAGTATGTTGTATACTGTAAACTCGCAGACTTTTTTGGTAAACAATAATGCATGTTTTTTTCCTCATTTAAAATATTAAAAATGTTTACAGATCGATATTTTTTCTGATCCCATAACTCTGCGGTTAGCTGTTTTGTGTTTCAATATAATGTTAGCATATATACTTTCTCTGTGAATTCATTTCTTAAAGTTTTTACTTGAAATGCCACATCCATAATGCTGGAATTGCTCATAGACAAAAATAAACGAAGAATATTTTTGTGTAGGGTGGGCGATATGATATAAAAAATCTCATATTGCAATATAAGTAATCTGATATCCTGATAACATCATATATCATGATAGTGAGCCGTTTATGTAAATTCAATCAATTAATAGCCAGGCAAGTAATTAGGCAAGTCATTGCATAACTGGTTTGTTATGTAGACAATTAAATTTTTTTTTTAACTTAAACTGTATACATATGACCACATGTAAAGGATGCTGTCTTTTTTACATTTACACATAGATTTACTTATTCATATGTGATATTTCTTACTTTATTTAGAACTTTTTGACAAATGATTGATAAATGTAAAAACATAAAATAAATATAAACAAAATATTTAAAAAACAATGACATAAAAATAAAATTTATTACTTAATAAAATGAAAAATGTAAACTTTGTACTTTCAAGATTGCAAAGTGTTACTATTAACAGTGTATTTTCTGACACCATGAAATAAACAATAGAGCATAACATTAAACGAAAGACTTTTTTTTTTGTCCATACAATATACACACTGGCCACTTTATTAGGTACATCTTACTAGTAACTGGTTCAACGAGCAGAAATCGAGACTCATCAGACCAGGCAACATTTTTCCAATCTTCTATTGTCCAAATTTGGTGAGCCTGTGTGAATTGTAGCCTCAGTTTCCGGTTCTTAGCTGACAGGAGTGGCACCCGGTGTGGTCTTCTGCTGCTGTAGCCCATGCGACTCAAGGTTGGATGTGTTGTGTGTTCAGAGATGCTCTTCTGCATACATCGGTTGTAATAAGTGGTTATTTGAGTTACTGTTGCCTTTCTATCAGCTCGAACCAGTCTGGCCATTCTCCTCTAACCTCTGGCATCTACTAGGCATTTGCACCTACAGAACTGCCACTCTCTAGATATTTTTTCTTTTTCAGACCATTCTCTGTAAACCCTAGAAATGCATGAAAATCCAAGTAGATCAGCCGTTTCTGAAATACTCAGACCAGCCCATCAGAAACCAACAACCATGCCACATTCAAAGTCCCTTAAATTCCCTTTCTTCCCCATTTGGATGCTCAGTTTGAACTGCATGTCTACACGCCTATATGCATCGAGTTGCTGCCATGTGATTGGCTGATTAGAAATTTGTGTTAACAAGCAGTTGGACAGGTGTACCTAATAAAGCGGCCGGTGAGTGTATATGCCTGGCCGGTGCGTATACTCACTCACCTCTCCTAAAGTGGTCAATTGCTGAAAGTGACGTCCTGCGAGGAAGGAGCGCAGGTTGTGATTGATTACGGCTTGTATCCTCATTACTGTGTTGATCGGAAAGGTGTGTGGGTTTGGGTGGGAGGGGAGGAGGAGTTTGTGGTTCTGATGCCACACAGAAGAGCCGGTCGAATCTGAAAATGTCCGGTGGGCGCAGAGAGATGGGAGATGAGAGGCAGGACGACAGAGAGGAGGAGACAGAGAGTTGGCCACAGGGTGCGCTAAAAGGGGGCTCCGACACCCCAGTCAGCAGGAAAGGGGAAGGGGAGGTGTCAATACGTGGGGTGGGGCTAAACACATCCTCCGTGTACTCAGACGAGCTTTGCTCAAACGAACGTTCAGAGTTCGAGATGCTGTCACACCTGGCGAAAGAAAAGCATACAAAATAAAAATGAGAACAAGAGTGTTGTTCATATACACATAACAGTGTTTTGGAGATTAGTTATTATATAAATGTTATTCAGAACAAAACGTCTTGAAACTCTACTCCTAAATATATTTTTAGTCTTCTGGGAATTCATATGGAAAATTTGTGGTATGTTGTGTCATAATGTCACATTTGTTTTTAAAACACAGGCATTCTCCGCTGCATGAGTACTTATTTAAATTTGCATACATTTTACAACACAGAGGCTCAGCCTAAGGAAAATGACAGAAGGTATGTATAAACACACAAAAAATGTTTTGTAGCAAGTAAAGATCCATTAAATTGATTGAAATGAACATTAATAATATTCTGATTTTTATTTAAAATAAAATGTTTGACATTTCTTCAAGAATTTTAAGCAAGTTTTTAATTGTTCTAATAATAATAGAAATACCACAAAAATACCATAAAAATATCACGGTTTCACAGTATAGTGATTACTGCTCTAAATCAGTAAAAAACTAAAACTTTTTCCCCCTTTGAACACAATATATTTGGTTATCTTTTCTGCTGGAGATACTGGTGTCCTAAAACAACAACAGCAAAAAAATAAATAAATAAATAGTAAGATTTATTATATATATATATATATATATATATTTATATATATATATATATATATATATATATATAAATCTTACACATACCTTAGGAAAGGTATAGCAGAACATTTAAAAAAATTGTTGTCGCCTTGAAAATTGTTATCGCCCCATGCCTGTGAATGTCAAATGGACATAAAGGTTTTGACATCAAGGTGGCTGCTGGTTTGAGCACTAATTCAGAAGAATTTTGGATAGATTGTGAGACTCTGAAGACTCAGATGAATGAGATTTTAAACAGTAATGTTAAGATTTCCAAACAACCACATTACAAAATAAAAGCGCATTTTCCTAAAGTCCCTACTTTGCATTCAAGTCCTTGAAGATTTTATTTGAATCAAATCACTGTGTGTTCTGCTGCAGTGACCAAGATCAAAAGATTTCACTGAAGCGAAAAGCATGAGAGATTTTTCTATTGTCATTTATTCTCTCAGTCTCCTTTATTAAATCAGATTAGAGGAAAAGCCAATAGTCTGCTGCTACATGGAATGAATCTCATTTCTGAGCTGAGATTAACAGCTAATTATTATTTTAGCAACGTGTGACCAGGCCCGGCGCCAGGAAGTCAAAACTGAGGGGGCACTTTAAATCCATAGGGGGGCACTAGACCTGGTGACTGATTTTGGTCTCTTGTTTCTTTCATTTAGGCTATTTATTCGCATTTATTATTACTTTGCATTACTGCCTAAGTTACTGAAGGCAGTAATATAGGCTACGTTTTAATAGTAATAGCAATACGCAGTTTCGCTATTACGAATTTTATTAACGATGGTAATGCATACCGCTTATTAATGCAGACGGATGATGGCTTCAGTGCCAAACGAGTGCTTTAAATCATATGTTATTCTCCTTATTTCCGTTTCATTTCAAATAACAGCCCTATGAATGTTTAAAGTTTTAGGTAAAGACGTCAAATTATGCCCACACATGCAAGCTGACCCACGATCAGACTATTCATTTAACTGGTAAATAAATATAGTGAAATCAGCTTAACCGAGTCATCACACTTCACAACCAACATCAGTGTTGGGGAAAAGCTAAATGTGACAATCTAATGTCATTCAAAACAATTACTTGGTTACATTTTAAGGCATTAGTGTAGCCAGAAAAATACCTAAAAAAGATACAAAAATTCACAGTTATTACCGTGAAAATTGGTTAAATTTTTATATGCTATATAACTTTTTTTCATCATTTTAAATGTAAAAACAAAGATTTGTCTAAGGCTATTATAAATGTGCTTTTTTCGTGATATTGTAAACCATCATAAACCTTATGTACCATAATTTCTAGGCCTACCCGTCATTTTATTTATTAATTTATTTATTTATTAGGCCTTTTTTAATAGCTTTTTTTCAGGTTATTTTCATTTTAGGGCCATGAGCTAAGTCAAAACAAACTCGATATGTTGTATTTTAGCTCTTAAAACAGATCTACAATATATTTTATGTTGTTTAATTTTGCATGAGCAAATAGCAGTATAGCCTAGTTGCATATTTTTAAAAGATTATCATTCTGCCTACCTGCAGCGCACGAGATTTCTCGGTTGATCCGCGGTAAATCCACTTAAGCACTATACCTATTCCATTTATAACACTGCAAACTTGACTTCGCAGGCCGATCATCTTTAAACGCAAAAGGCATTTATTATGTGTTATACCTTGACTGCAGTTGCATAATGGGATGTTTCTCTACGCAACTGTAAAAGTGCACTTTTCAGCAAAATGAAAGCAAACATTTAAAGGGTTCTGCGTTTTGTCAATTTTAGCTTAATTGTAATAATATTAATAATAATATTAATAAATAAATTAAAATATTATTTATAGTGTAGCCTACTGTGAGACTGTGCAGTAAACTATTTATTTTTATTAAAACATGTTTATTAGGCTACATCTTCCCGAATAACTAATAAATGACTGGCAGTTGCGTCTCTGCTAAAATTAATTTAAAAGCAAGTTTCTTATGTGTTTTTTTCCTTTTAGAGCTCAAGAGAGTTGTGTTTAAATAATTAGTTAACCAAAACATGTAATGAATTAAGCTGCTCCTATCATGTCACACACTTTTCTCCCTTGTGAGTTGAGTGCGCCTCCATCGCCGTGTGCGCGTTTTAAAGGCTATTTACGGGCGCACCTGACCTGACGCGGGGACCGGATCTCTGGACTATAGGACTAGCTTTAACCTCACCATTTTCATAATTTAATTGCTATGTCATATATTTTAAAATATTTAAATGTGTGTTCTGAAGGTTGGAAGGACGGGGGTGTTAATAATTAATGACAGAAAGAATTTTCAGTTTGAGTGAACAATCCTTTATAAAAACTGGGGGGGCACAAACTCTGTCTGAGGGGGCAATGCCACCCTTTGCCCCCCCGTAGCGCCGGGCCTGCGTGTGACCATAAGAAATGGGGAGGGCCTTGCCTCACAATGCTTTTGGTGCCGGTTTCACACTGAGAGAGGAAGAGGTAGTCAAGTGGAGGGCTGCTCTCTGATTCGCTTGGCCTGTCTAAGACAGCATGGTTGTCGACGGTAACGGTGTCCTGATTGGCCACAAGAGAAACATGAGGAGAAAGTGCTGGAGAGGGCTGCTGGGAAGAGGGTGTGCGATTTAGACTGTCCATTGATTCTATCAAAAAAGAAAGAGAGAGAGAAGAGATTAGCGGTAAATCATTATTCATTTTAAATATCAAAATATTAAGTGAAATTTCTGATGTACCTATACACTTTTAATTACCAGAAGGTGGCAGACCAGATCACCCTCTGCCAGCCCCCCCCCCACACACACACCATAACCCACTGTCTCACACACACACACACACTCACACACACACACTCACACACACACACACACTTTCTCTTCCTGTTTAGACTCAACAGTTCGCTAGTAGTGGGCAGACATTTCTAAACCTCTTAGTCCCACAGATGAGCATGTGACGCTCATGCCTGTTACACGCACTGGAAACACATGACACATTCACTCTTCTTTTTTTAGGGGTGTAATCGCTTCTTTTTTAAACAGTAAGCAAAATGTTTTTGGAAGGTGGAACTGAGTCGAAATAATTCAGATAAAGGTCATTGTGGAAAGCTTTTTTTTTTTTTTTTTTTGCCTTTTCCAGGGTCATGTCTTTGTGTTGTGAGAATCAGATTGACTTCTTGAGTTTGAGACTCGGCTCTTGCTTTATGTATTTGTGTTGAGCAGGTTAATCGGTCACATTTTATTTTGATGGTCCGTTTGTTGAATTTAAGTTTCATTGCAACTAATTAGATTAGTATACTGTTTTAGATTATTAGTATACTGTTAGGTTAGGGTTAGTGCAAGTTGACATGTACTTGTAAAGTTTCTTATAGTCAGTTAAATGTCTGTTGAAGAAGCAATATCAGCAGATATTAAGCAGACAGCCTACTAATACTCAAATGGACCATCAAAATAAGGCGTTTCTTATTAATTAAATAAGCAATTTAAATAATCAAATAAAATGTTATTGCCCATAACCAGAGGCACCCCATAGTGACTTATGGTTGAGCGTCTGATATCACACTCAACCTGCTGCTGCTTGAAAGCCATTGTGAGTAATGTCAGGACTGTAGCCAGGGGATGTTCGAAATACCCACCCCACACTGATAAAGGTCCAGAATTTATCCCATACTTGAGCTTTTTGTCCTATTTTGACTCCTATGCCATAATAAATGTTGAAAATGACCTTTGAAGAAGGCTTTAAAAGGGTGGTCCACTATGATATCATGTTTTAAACTTGAGTTTATGTGTGAACATAAACAACATCTCTGAATGAATTATGCTCAAAGTTCAGTGCAAAGAGAGACATTGGCTTTTACAGAGTTAGCTTAGCAAAGTCTACAGCAAACAAAGTTTGGGGACTACAAATAAATACATCTGGGCTAGTGAGATCACAAGGGCTTCCGGTTACGTGCATTCACCTCACGCACACATGATTCGGGCAGCTTACAGCTTTTCTGACTGACTGCGCATGCTTCGAGAGTCATAGCGCTTTTCCTGGTGATGTGGAGTCGATCTGTGAATCACAGCACATTATGTTAGCTGACCAATCAGAGCCTCTTGAGAGCAGGTCTTTCAGAGGAACTATGACATCCGAAAGTCGTTTTGATGTTAACTGAGTAGCTGTATAAAATCAAAGTAAGATATATGAAAAAAATATTTTTTTACAAATGAAGCAAGAGCACACATTACTTTGCATCTTTGAACACAACCAAGCCTTAAAAATACACTGTGGACCACCCATTTAAGGTCCAAGCAGAATCCTCTTTTGGCTGTTGCTTTAGTGTGATTAAAGAAATTTGAATGTGCTGGCCAGTTTGTGTTTGACTAATAAATGACAATAGGCTAGTTTTTAATGTAAAACTGGAACAGCATCTTTTTTTCTAATGATTTATAGTGTAATGAATTTGTATTTGAAAAATAAGTATTATTCTCATATTTTTTTCTTCTAGGTTTTTAGGAAATGTTTTTTGTACATCAGAAAGTGTGGTTAATGATCCTCCGACAAGCTAATCCAGCAAAAATAGTGCTTAAAGAAGTATTTAAAGCTCATAATTAAATAGATAATGAGGCGACTAACTGCAAAAAGGTCCATATTTTAAGAAAAACGAACCACCCATTTCACCAGGCTGGCTACAGGCCTGAATGTGGAGGTAACATTGTGGGTAAACAGTCGTAGATAACCGGCTTTTGATCACGTTGCAGCTAGCATGCTAATCTGAGGGGGATTGAGTGGGCTCATGTAAACGTTGCTTCTTTGGCAGAGCCTTATTGGGTATCCAGCATTTGAATAACTGACAATGACTCACAACTTCTTTTCTTTTTTCTTTTTGATAAAAATCTGAGAGACGCCAGGCTTGTGGCTGTATTAAATGATTTTTCCTGATCCTATATTTACGGTAAACATCTATAAAGGTGTAAGCCTATAACATTTTCACAGTTTGAACCACTTCATTTATAAAGCTGCTGTAAGAATGCTTTAATGATTATATGGAGCTATTTTTACCCTGGCTGTCCAAGGTTGTTATGGTATGAGCTCCAGTGAGCAGTTGTCCTGGTAATGGAGTCAGAGGGACAGTAAAGATACAATAAGGTGTTGTCATGGTGACGGTCATAGATGGAATAAAAATGACATTGGAGAGACGATGGAGACGCAGTACAAAGTTGTGAAAGCGATGAAGTCAGTGTAAAAGACAAGACTGCTGTCTTGCTGTGTCAGATTGGGAAAAATTTTAGTGGGCAGTTGTTATGGTGACAGGCCAGGGAGAGCACAGACACAGTGAGCTGTTGTCATGGTGACAGGTCAAAGCGAAAGCACAGATACAGCAAGCTGTTGTCATGGTGACAGGTCAGAGCAAGAGTCCAGATACAGCGAGTAGTTGTAATTGTGACAGGTCAGAGCAAGAGTCCAGATACAGCGAGTAGTTGTAATGGTGACAGGTCAGAGTGAGAGCCCAGATACAGCGAGCTGTTGTCATGGTGATGGGCAAGAGCACAGATACATAAAGCAGTTGTCATGGCGACAGATTATAGTGAGAGCACAGATACAGCGAGCAGTTGTCATGGTGACAGGTCAAAGCCAGAGCACAGATACAGTGAGTAGTTGTCATGGTGACAGATCAGAGCAAGAGTCCAGATACAGTGAGTAGTTGTCATGGTGATAGGTCAGAGCGAGAGCCCAGATACAGCGAGCTGTTGTCATAGTGATGGGCAAGAGCACAGATACATAAAGCAATTGTCATGGCGACAGATCAGAGTGAGAACAAGTTGTCATGGTGACAGGTCAGAACATAGTTACAGCAAACGGTTGTCATGGTGATGGATCAGAGTAAGCGCACAGACAAAGTGAGCTGTTGCTATGGTGACAGGTCAGCGAGATTGCAGATACAGCGAGCAGTTGTCATGGTGACAGGTCAGCGAGAGCATAGATACAGTGAGCAGTTGTCATGGTGACAGGTCAGCAAGAACACAGGTACAGTGAGCAGTTGTCATGGTGACAGGTCAGCAAGAGCACAGGTACAGTGAGCAGTTGTCATGGTGATAGGTCAGCGAGAGCACAGATACAGTGAGCAGTTGTCATGGTGACAGGTAGGTTAGCGAGAGCACAGGTACAGTGAGCAGTTGTCATGGTGACAGGTCAGCAAGAGCACAGGTACAGTGAGTAGTTGTCATGGTGACAAGTCAGCGAGAGCACAGATACAGCGAGTGGTTGTCATGGTGACAGGTCAGAGTGAGAGCACAGATACAGTGAGCAGTTGTCATGGTGACAGGTCAGAGGGAGAGCACAGATACAGTGAGCAGTTGTCATGGTGACAGGTCAGAGGGAGAGGAGAGATATTACAGTATTCTGTAACTCGTGGCTCTGGCAGATTATCTACATTTGAGTTTACAAAAGTTCACAGAAGCCGTTAGGTTTAACAGGACACCACATGGTTTTTAGCCAGCATGTGTTCTGAGTGTCTTGACATGTGGCCTGAAGCAGGATCTGAAACTGTGGGCCTCCCAGGTGTGGCTACAATCTCTGATCTGCTCTTCTCTCAGCCTGCTGTCCATCTGCCTTGTTGCAAAAGGGTCTGTTTGTAAATAATATGCTGAGTTCCATTTCACAGCTGGAGTCCTGCTGGGCTTTAAAACAAGGTCAGCCGATAAACAGTGACTGAAACTTGTGTCTCCAAAATAGGGCTGAGTGATAAGGCCTAAATTATTATCCCAGTATTTTTGAGGTTTCATATCGTATTGATACTATAGTTGACTCCATGGAATCTGGATTATTTTTCCTTAGATTTTGTTCATTTTGAATTAAAATGAAAATAAAAAATTTGTAAGTATTGGCATCAAAACAATGAATGTTAAGTATTTGGTCAGATAAGCTTCTGCATAACACATTGACTTTATTAATAAAATCATGGGTGAGAAAAAATACCTTAATTGTAAAAAAAACAAAAAAAATCTAATTTCTGCCATTCATTTAGTTTTAGCACTATATTTAATTAAGTTTCAGCTCTGTATTTCAATTATTTCATCAAGTTTAACCAGACTTTATTTTGATGGTTTTGTAATGAAGATATTTCAGTTTCAGTGTGATCTGCTGCTTTTTGTTTTGTTTTTGCTTGGTGTTTTTGTTTCTCATTTAAAACAGTAAAATGTTTGGGAGAGTGATTCTCAGAGCAGATTTGGAGATGCTCATGTCTTTATCGATTGAAACTGCCAAACATAAACTAAAACCAGTGAACATCCCATGTTTGAATTTGTGTTGTAGATAAAACCACATCATACATTTACTGCACATAAATGAATAAGCAACATTCATTTAATGGCTGTTTTCACATGCATTAAAATACACAAAGCTTCATTCATTCATTCATTCATTTTCTTTTCGGATTAGTCCCTTTACGGATTAGTCCCTAACCGCCAACTTATCCAGCACATATTTTTATGCAGTGGATGCCCTTCCAGCTGCAACCCATCCCTGGGAAACATCCATACACACTCATTCACACTCACACACTACGGACAATTTAGCCCACCCAATTCACCTATACCGCATGTCTTTGGACTGTGGGGGAAACCGGAGCACCCAGAGGAAACCCATGCCAACACGGGGAGAACATGCAAACTCCACACAGAAACACCAACTGGCCCTACTGGGCTTTGAACCAGCAGAATTGCTGTGAGACAACAGTGCTAACCATTGAGCCATCGTGTCACCCTGTTGAACTCAAAATATATTTTGATAGAATACTAGTAGCTGCCAACCATTGACATCCATAGTAATTTAGGAAGTTGATGGATGCAAGCAATAAGTAGTCTTCAAAATATCTTCTTTCGTATTCAGAAGAAGAAACAAAATTATGAAAGTTTAAAACTGCATAAGGAAGAATAAATAATAAATGTAATAAATAATTAGAAATAAATTTCGGTTGAACTGTCCCTCTAAAACTCAGGTCTCATACTGGATTCCTGGAGGGCCGCAGCTCTGCACAGTTTTGTTCCAATCCTAATCAAACACAGCTGATCCAACTAATCAAGGTGTTCAACACTACTAGAGACTATTGAGCAGGTGTGAGTTGGGTGTGGCTAAACTAGAGCTGCGGGCCTCCACTGATGAGACCACTGTTTTAAAGGAACACTTCACCTTAGTTAAAAAATAAGCTCATTTTACAAGACCTCTAGAATTGAAAAAGTATAAATTTACAATTTTTTGATTCTATTCAGTTGATCTCTGGGGCTGGTATGAGTGCTTTTAGCTTAGCATAAATCATTGAATCAGATTAGACCATTAGCATCTTGCACAAAAAAATTAAAAAAATAAATTTTGCTATTGTACCATTAATGCAGCAGGTGCAATGATATTACAAAGCAATGTTACCTAGCGGTGGAATATTTTTCATAGTAATTTAGCACTGGATGCAGCTAGGGGCGGCGCTAGAGGGCAAAAGTTAGGAGAATTCTAAGGCCCCTCGCCATTTTGGGGACTCCAGAGATGCTATTGGGGGCCCACCAGCTCTTGGCTTTCGTTCACTATCACCCACCTCCCACAGCTATTCACTATCTTCCGTTACACCTACGAAATGTTTTCATAGGGCATGTACTGGCCAGCGGCGCCCCTGGATGCATGCATGATATGGCAGCATAGTTCATCATTTTACGCCGCAATGGGAGTTTAGTTCCTAGCCATATCAATTATAAAATAGCAACTTTTTCAGTTTCTGTCAGTCTAAATATGATGTAACTACAGAATAGTCTAGTTTTAAATAGGAAAATTACCAAAATGCTAAAGGTCTAATCTAATTAAATGATTTATGCTAAGCTAAGCTAAAATTGCTCCAGCTAGATTCAGAGATTGATTAATCAAGTAATAGAGTAAAAATGGCAATATTTAACTCTAGGGGACTTAGAGTTAAAACAAGCCTAAGCAGAGTGTTCTTTTAAGTCATTTTATCTATGCATGTGTTGTTGTTCTGTATATATTAGCTTTATCTTTCCCAATCTGCCGGTTAAAAGGCTCATACAACCGTCCAGCGTTTTGTGTATTGAACAGTAACCATCTACTTCCATGTCTGAAACTCTGTATCACTCATCTTTCTGTTATCTTTCTAAGTAATGTGTAACTTGTGGTTTCTCTCACTCTCTGAGCTTGGTTTATCACATTAGCCATGCTAACTGCTAACATTTCCTCTGTACTCTACATTAATAATTGTGCTACATTTAATAAAAACATGTTCTCTTGCTAAAACAGCAGAGCAACACAGATCGGGATGTTCGTTGTTTTTTGTTAGTTGAGGATAAGCAATGCCACACACTTGTGATCTGTCTGCGTTATGACAGACGTGTGTGTGTGTGTCTGTGACGCAGCTGTTGCTCTGCAGACTATTGGAAAGAAAGGAAGAGAGGGATGGAGGAATGGAACAGAATATTAAAATAACACCTCGCCTAGATTACAGCGTCATTTTCTTAAGGATTCAGTCTGCATCTTTAAGTCTGCATCTCTCTCTGGAGAAACATCCAGTGGTTAATTATTTCCCAGTTTAGGTTTATTCATTTTAAAACTACAGTTAGAGGAATGTCCGTCTTTAGGTTAACGGAGAGTTCAGATGTGGTGAAATGGGTAATTTTAGAAGGCATTTTTCTCATTAGAGTGTTCCCTATTTTATCTCATGTCTAGTATCTTTCTTATAAGTCCACGTAATTCAACAACAATCAAAGCGAGGATTACTATAATGGAAACTAGAATTCATTTTGAGAATCCGCAATATATATATATATATATATATATATAGGGCGAGGCAGTGGCGCTGTAGGTAGTGCTGTCGCCTCACAGCAAGAAGGTCGCTGGTTCAAACCTCTGTTCAGTTGTTGTTTCTATGTGGAGTTTGCATGTTCTCCCTGCATTTGCGTGTGTTTCCTCCGGGTGCTCTCATTTCCCCCACAGTCCAAAGACATGCGGTACAGGTGAATTGGGAAGACTAAATTGGCTATAGTATATGAGTGTGAGTGAGTGTGTATGGATGTTTCCCAGAGATGGGTTGCAGCTGGAAGGACATCCGCTGCTTAAAACATATGCTGGATAAGTTGGCGGTTCATTCCTCTGTGGCGACCCCAGATTAATAAAGGGACTAAGCCAAAAAGAAAATGAATGAATGACAAAAATAAAAAATAAGGAACATCCTGTTTCTTCGAATATATTATAGAAGTATCGGATTGGTCCTCGGTATTTGTAGATACTCAAAATCAAATGACTCGGACTCGTACTCGATGTCAAAAAAAACCTGGACATCACAACACGTATTTTCTCTTTTTCCCACAAGCATGTCATCAATTTCTGACTTTGTCATCCTTTACAGCCATAATATTAGCAGCAACACTGCAGATCTATAACCCAGCGTTCCTGTCACTTTTACACCCTTATTGTTTATGAGCTACTCAATTGGCAATTAATAAAACTAGCTTTCCCAAAACTATTAACAAAATAAAACTCATCTTACCTGCGTGTCTGTTGAGTCCTCCAAACGTACAGATCTGTCCGATATTCTGCACCCAGTCGTTCATCTCCTCTGCCGTTTTGGCCAGCAGGTAAAAGATGCGTGTTGCAGTCTTGACCACAAACAGGTGCTGATTCTGGTGCTGCCGTTTCGTAGGCCGCACTTCCGCCTCGATGGTGACCTCGCATTCTTGCAGGTCGATGGTTCGGATTGGTTTGCGGGAGCTCTTGCTACGGTAATATTCCAAAACGTCAGGATTCCCGCTCATCCGACCCCTCCGTAAAACAAACCATCTCTTTCGCCATGACTGAGAGAGGGAGAGAAAGAATTAGATTAGCTTTGTTCTGCTGGGCACTCACATCACAATAAATTAGTTATCAAGTCAAGAAGGCCTTTTGATCTTTGGATCTTGCCTTTTAAAGCACAAGCAGTCTTTATATAAAATGAGTCTTCATAAAAAATGATCATTTTACATTATTTTGTACACTGTTAACAATTTCCTGTAGAATACACAGTGTTACTCTTAGCAGTTCGCCAATAACTTACTGTAAATCAATAACAGCAAAAATACTGCATTTGCATTTACAGCACCATTTATCTTGCTGTATATGTATTTTTAGTTTATATTTTTTATCTTTATCATAAAATATACAATATTTTGCACTATTTTACAGTATTTTCACAATGAAACTTAAAAATACAGCAACATATTGCATACCTGTCCTACAGTAAAATGCAGTACATATTACAGTTAAATACAGTGTAATTTGCAAATACTGTTAACATTTTTTACAGATATATGTTAATCTTTTTTGGTCTGTTCATCTGTGAATATTATTGAAAAGAAAATACTAAAATAAGCAATCATTAGTCAGTTAATGCTGCTGTTTAAGTATAAAAAGTAAACATATCAATAAATATTAAAGAGACAGATCACCCAGAACTGAAAATACTTTCATCTTGTGCTCACCCTTAGATAAAACCCTTCACAAGTTTCTTCCATCAGTTAATCGCAATAGAAGATATTTTAAAGAAAGCTGAAAAGCTCTAACCCTTGACATCCACAGCATTTGTTTTTTTCCTGCATAACCACTTGAGTACACAGTGAGTGAATTTTCAGTTTTGGGTGAACTATCCCTTTAAATGAGAAAATAAAGATGTCAACAGCACTTCAATTAGAATTAAAATAAAAACTGAATATATAAGAATAAAGGCTAAATCTAAATTTTAATGAATACTATAATATGTAAATAAAATAACACTAAAACAACACCAATCAAAATAGAAGTATTGTTGTGCAATTTAAACTTGCCACAGTGTCATTTTTCACAATATGTGGTGTCTGTGTTCAAAGCAACTGAGGTTTTTATTGCGAAATAAGAGTACACAAAGTAACAATAACAGAATGATTTATTTTTAAAGACTATGTAACAATGTTTGATCATGTTTGATGTTATGATCATTGACATGATCTTAGTATGATGTTGTGATGACGATATAATCAATGTATGATGTACAATCAATACAATTCTGAACAGAACAATTGCCATAATGCCTTTGCTATACCAGCTGAAGCTTGTCATCACTGATTTCCAGAACTATAAATACACCTCACTATAGCAACTATAGTTGCTGAGTCTTGTTATCCTGTTGCACTACCAAGTGTTTTCTTGTCTTGTCTAGCCTAGTTGTGTATTGACCCTTTGCTAAGTTTTTTCATTTTGACTCCTCGCCTGTTTGTGACCACGATTCTGGATTTCTCAGCACTTTCAGAAATAAAGGTATGAGAGCTGTCACTGGGGTGGTACCTTTTCAAAAGGAACACATTTGTAGTTGAAGGGTCCATATTAGCACTGTACCTCAAAAGTATATATTAGTACCTACAAATTTTAAAAGGAACACTTTTGTACTTTTTAGGTACCAATATGTACCCTTGAGGTATTAATATGAACCTTTTAGGTACAAATTTATACCTTTTGAAAAGGTACCACCCCAGAGACAGCTCGCGTACCTTTAATTCTAAGTGTGTATGCATCTGTTTGCCCCCGTTTTGACCGTTGCCTGCCAAACTAATTTTGCAAATAAGCTGCTAGTGGATCCTCAACTACATTGTCTAGCTCCCCTGTGTTACAGTTTATGTATAAATCACTTGCATGAACAGCTTTCAACAAAACTTTTAAAATCAAGACTTACTCTCAGTGAAAATCACTGAATGAAATAAGTTAGTTTAATTTATAATTTTTAAAAAAGTTATATTGACTCAATGAAAACTCATAAACTGATTATATTAAGCAGTATTCTAATTAAGTGAGTTATGAATGAGTTAATTATATATATATATATATTTTTTTTTACTCAAATGTTAGAAGGACTTAATTTAAGTTAATTGAACTAATAGTGATTTGATAACTGAACTTAAAATATTTAAGTTACTAATACTCTAAAAGTTTCATGATATTAACACAAATGATGTATGTGTATGTGACACAATATATAAGTTTACAATACTCAAACCATTTTGTTTCAAAACTTTAATAGTTTGCTGCAATCGGTTTCCTCAAACAGTTTGAATTAACCTATCGAGTTTCACAGTGTATTATAGATTTATTATTGATTTTAGATGGGGTTCTATCTGTTTTTTTTTTTTTTTTTAAAACACAAATCTTTACATTTTTTGCATTACATATATCAAATATAAAATTTTGTTCAAGTTTTCAAATAAATCAAAAATCCAGAAATATCAGGACATCGAATTCTGTTTCATCTTTTGCGTCTTACATGTTCAATGAATTGCATGCTCAATTAAACCTAGGGATAGTTCACCCAAAACTCAAAAGTTATCATTTACTCACCGTTTGTTTATTTCAAACCTTTATGAGTTCCCTTCTCCTGCTAAACACAAAAGGAAATATTTTGGAAAATGCTGAAAGAAACCCAAAATGATTTGGAACAAGTTAAGCAAATTATGAATTTATTTTAATTTTTGGGCTGACTATACCATTAATGGCCACTGCTAACAAATTATGAATTATAACATTCTTAACTTAAAATAAAAATCAAACCGCAAAAATAATAAATAAGTGGATAAATAATGTCTATTTGAAAATCTGTTTTGATCAATTGAGGTTCTGAGTGATTCCAATAAAGCTTTCAGAAAGGAGTTTAGATTGATAGCGATGTGGAATTTGGTATCCAGTGAATCATTCATAACTGTACACCACAGTGAAGCTAGTGAAAGCATAGACAAGTTTAAAGATAAACTTCTGTCTAAACTGGGCAGGGTGTGGCTTTCAGTCAGAGATGACTTACAAACTTACTTCACAAGAGATTAATCTCTCACAGCAAAAACAAGTTGCCCATGCTCTATGGCTACGAAAAGTAAACAGTCAACATCAAGTCAATCAGTATCAATCTCTTGGCATAATAATGAAGTACAAATCCAGTTTTGACACGGTAATCACTGCAAAAATATGCTTATTACTATTAGATGTATTAAGCTGTTATTCTATTTAGGAGATATTAAAGGTTATTCATTGTGACATCATGCCATGTAGTAATTAGCTTATAGGCTTATACTTTGAGTTGTTAGGTCATCATGTCTGATTATTAGCTGTTATTTTTAATTTTCTCTGAACTGTAAAGAGCATGCAGTACCTGCCTTAGGTGAAATCTGTCTTCAGAGAATTCACCTGCGCACGTGATTGTTTCTTTTCCATTATCAGTGAAGTAACAGAAACTATTATAGAAACCAAAGCAGAAATACTTTCTCAGAGAAAGACGGAATAAAGAGGGGGCGGTGGTTTATATGAAGTCCTAGATTTACTCATAGTTGACTGTGCTCTAATTTCTTATTGACAATAAATAAAGAAAAGGACACTACAAACTGGAGCATTTGTCAAATTTATATAATTTGTTGTAAAGATATTTATGGGTTAAATGTAAGACCTCATATTAAATTGTTAAGTAATGTTATGTGGATGGAAAGCATATTAAATGCAAAAGCCTATGCTCTTTTATTATTATGTCAGGTTCTATCATCTCTATCATTTCAGCCTGACATAATCTACATGTTCTTATTAAAATATACAAAATAATTGATAAAATAGGGCATCAGGGTGTCGCGGTGGGTAGCACAATCGCATCACAGCAATAAGGTCACCAGTTCGAGCCCCGGCTGGGTCAGTTGGCTTTTCTGTGTGGAGTTTGCATGTTCTCCTGTGTTCGCGTGGGTTTCCCCACAGTTAAAAGACGTGGTACAGGTGAATTGAATAAACTAAACCGGCCGTAGTGTTTGTGTGTGAATGCAAGAGTGTATGGGTGTTTCCCAATGTTGGTTTGAGGCTGGTTGGTTTGAGGCTGTGCAAAACATATGCTGGATAAGTGGGTGGTTCATTCCACTGTGGCGACCCTGGATTAATTAAGGGAGTAAGCTAAAAAGAAAACCTCGGTTGTCAGAGTCACATCCTGTTACATTTATAATTTATTACACTAAATTACATTTTACTGGATGTCTTCTGTAAGTTAAAGCAAAAATTTATTAGTTATAATCTGTAGTTACACTGAATGAAATGTTGCTGTACAGGTGGGACGCATTACAACGGAGGTGAGGATCCACATGCAGTTCTTTAACATTTAGAGTAGTCAGACAGGCAATGGTCAACAAATGAGCAAATCAATAGCACATGGGTTATTAACGCAATAAAAGTGGTCAAAACACAGGTGAGAGTTTAAGCTAGACGTCAATGAATCAGAATGAGGAACAGGGCAAGAATCCAAAACACAGAAGAACAAAGAACGAAAACGCTTCATAAAGTTCATAGGAGAAACAATACTTAGCGATGTGTGTTGCAAAGAGAGGTGTCTTTAAAGTCCATGAATGATTCAGTGATGAGCCTCAGCTGTGTGTGTGTGTGTGTCATCATCGGTGATCCGGGACAGGTGTATGTGTGTGTGTGTGTGTGAGAACAGATAAAATGGGATTTGTAGTTCTTTTGGTGGCAGATTTGTAGTTCTCCAATAATCTGTATGGACTAGATCGCTGTGATTGTGACAGTTAGTGGCATGTCTTGTGTAAACCATGACAGAAATGTATCATAATCATTATTTATTTTGCTGGGCACATGAAAATTAAAATGAAAATAAAAGCTGTGTATTGCTTTAATGCTTGAAAACCCTTTTTATTGTCTTTAGCTATTATATATTTTTGTTTTTGTGTATCATCTAAGGCCATTTTTCTGCTGTAATGTACTCAGTCTGAACCCAAACCAAACAAACTTGAAAAACAAACACCAGCTGTCATTTTCACTA